GGGAAAGCGCAGTATAGCGACTGGCTATGGGCTGGGAAACCGAGGGCTCGGAGTTAGAATCGCGGAAGGGGGGGGGCAAGAATTATCTCTTCTCCACGTCTGGGATCCACCTACTCTCCTAGCCAATGGATATCGACTACTATTTCCGCCGGGGTAAAGCGGCCTGGACGTGAAGCTGATCACTCACCTCCAGTTAGCGCCGAGGTCAAGAAAAGGTGGGTCTATACATTCACTCCACTAACGTCGTAGTGCTTAATTAGTTAAGCAAATGGAAAACTTTAGCTTTCTTCACCGATGGCGAACTATTGTACCGATCCAAAGATTGGCACGGCCTTAAATATCTTTTGGCACTGATGACTACAGTTACTGTATATACCAACATCTGGGGTCACCTGATAATTCAATAATTCACGTAGCAGTAATTATTCTTCGCACGATATGACACATCTTGAAAACCGAAGGATGTGTTAATCCAGAGAAAGATAGCTACATTACAAATATAACGTCGTACACTTACATATATCCCTTTAATTAATCTGAACCGCGAACTACATAAAACTAAATTCCGTGGCCTGTAGTCAGCAAGCGATCTATACCGACCGAGGGACCGCCGCTTGTCGGCGAATTTGTGCCAACTTTTAGGTGATAGAGTGTGTCGCGTGGTGAGCGCAAAGAATCCCCAAGGCATTTAATTTCGGTTTTCTAGACCGGAACCACCATTTCCTTCAAATTGCTCCTCAATTATCCCCACGAGGCTGAATGAACGCCGTTCGAGACTAATTACTTCTTAGAAAATCTGGTAGAGTTGGGGAATCGAACCCAGGCCTCTGAATCTGTAGCAAGGAACTCTGACATTTAGACCACAGTCGCGAACTACTTTAAAAGGTTATCTCCCTCAAAAAAGTATATACATATATTCTTAACCCTCTGTCATGTATTTAAGGCCATAACAAAGCTGTAAACCTCAGAGATATTACAGTCAGCACCATACAAAAAAAAAAAACTCCGTGGCTTCAATCCGTAAGCGAATATACAGACCGAGCGATCGCCGCTTATCGACGAATTTAGTGCCAACTTTCTGCTCCATAACACTCAGTAACCACATACAAGCTACAAACTGAATAAATGCCTAAAAATGAGCGGCTGTATATATCTCATTAAACTCACCAGGAAGAACCTCTCATTGTTAAGAATGGCAGATTTGCAGCGACCCGTTCGCAATTCGTGTTCATGACACACCTCATTTCTCGACGAACACGCATGCAGTTTATTAGTGATAGGATGTCCGACAATGCAGGCGAGGGTAGTCATTTATTACAAGGTTCTCTAAAGGCGCGTCCACACTACTCGTGCTCGTGCTCGTGTGACTCGCTATGCTCGCCAGTAATGTGGACGATATGACAAGTCACGAGACAAGCAAATTTTTAATTTTTAATTTAAAAACTGTAGCCAATAAATTAAAATACGACTACAGCCTATACACACTACGAGTAAATAAACGGATCCTCACGCGCCGAAGCCTGGCGAGCAACTGAAGTAGTGTGGACGAAGATTTACGAACACAAGTAAAAGCCAGACGAGTCTCCCGACGAGCACAAGCACGATCACGAGTAATGTGGACGCGCCTTTAGGCCAATGGAACGAAAACTACACAGGAGACGTATAGAAGAAAAGTGTGTAGTTAACTGTACCTCGAATCATGTTAAGGCTGGTAGCTCTGTTTTCCAAATAATAAACATCTCTAAGGTCTCGGCCATTGTAAATTTGATTACAGGAAGCGTGAAATTCGGGGGACTTCTGGAATAAGAAAGCTATAAATAAATTAAGAATATAATGAAAGAAAATTATCTGAAAAGTTACGAACTTCCTTTCTCCGCTGCAAAGCTACAATTTTTAGTCGAAATGAGAAAAATGAAACAAGCTCCATATTTATTTACGAACTGCAAATAATTCAGACCTGGATGTTATGAAAACAGAATTGCAAACCAACAACAATGGTACAAATATTATCTTTGTGGACATTATCCATCTTCCTGTTTTTACAGCCGGGGTAGCGTAGTCGGTATAGTGACTGGTTACGGGCTTGACTATACATGCACTCCCCCATACGCCTTCATGGCGAAGTGCTTAATGCGTTGAGCAGAGGGGCAACTTTACCTTTACATCTATCTGTTTTTATTTAAACACCGTCATGTTTATATTTAAAAAAGAAACGTTTCGGAGACTGCATTCTGTCTCTGTCTTCAGGTAAAACCTACTCAGTTGGGTCCAATTGACGCAGCTAATCCACATCTTCAGAGACAGGGACTAAGTCTATCGATTAGGTTCAACTGAATAGGTTTTACGATAGATAATGTCAGAAACATAGTATTTGTACTAATTTACCGTCACAATAAACTTTTAAATCTTATTTCCACAATAAACTGGGGCCTGAACAAGACCAATGCAGTAATACAGAATCAACCGTCACAAATTGCTTACGACTGAAGCTGGTACAGAACTTAGTTCTGAGCTTAATATGAGCAAACACATATGAAGATATCTTCCCTGTTACTCAAAAGAAATACACAGACATGAGCTTCAGTCAGATCATAAAAACCATTACATTCTGAGGGATAACCTTGGCTGTGTGTTCCAGCATCTCTTCCAGCACAGAGATCTGGTTATCTCACCGAGATTTCTTTTTCAGATCTTCCATTTACTTAAAAGGAACATACCACAAAAGCTTCTGGATATAATTAAAATAGAAAGGACTACTTGGGGAGCTTTCCACCTACACAGAGTCATAAAATATCAACCAAGAGACTGAAGATGCTGAATAAAATCTCTATGCAGGAAAAGAAATTACATATTCAATGCCTACTAAGTTAGGAAGCCGGGATAGCTCAGTTGGTATAGCACCTGACTACGGACTGGAGGAGGGGTCGGAGTTCGAATCCCGGTAGGGTCAGAATCTTCTGTTCTCCACGTCGTCAAGACCGACACTGGGGCATACCCAACCTCATATCGAATGGGTACCGGGAGTAAAGCGGCCGGGGCGTGAAGCTGACCACTCATCTCCAATTAGTGTCGAGGTCAAGAAAATGAGGATCTATACACCCACTTCCACATACGCCTTCATGTTCTGTTTAATTAGTTAAGCACAGGGACAACTTTACCTTTTAATGCCTACTAGGTTAAGTGACCCTCAGTATGAGAATGGAAGTGATAATATTGATAAGGAAATTCAGTCTCTTGTTTTTCTTCCTTCCAACACATTTTAACATTTTATAGAAACCAAAGAAGATTGAATGAACATTTGATGTCAACGATTTAATATTCGTACTTGCAATTAGCTCTACTTTTAGTTCGGAATCAGAAGGAGAGACAGTAACAGCCGGAACAAATAAATTAATGAGAACGATATAAACAAATTAAAAATGCAAATTGTGTCAAAAAGAAAGTGAAAGAAAAATTATGTAAAATCTGTCATGAAACCTGGTAGAAATACCATGCAACAGACCAGCTAAGCTTTCATATCTTATCATCAAAAATACTAATATGTTAACAGAGGAGACCTGTGAATTTGGAGTCATACTGGAGCCCTTACGTGCAACGGATCTGCTGAAACCATGAAGCTACAGGTTGGTACTTTTTGTAGATGTGAAGCCCGGAGGCGACGGGTGAAATTATAATATTTTATAAGGGTATATTATTATAAAAGTACCGACTAATGTTGTGTGAAATCCTTTGTTATCTTAACAGTTATAAACGTTAAGAAAGCAGCCTTCTGGGATGTGGCGCCGTGTAGATATTGTGTTAAGTGACGTTTCGGAGGAACGTATCCCTCAAGCCGGTTCCTCGCTTGCGGAGATTCTTCTTTTTTTCTACACTGAAGACAGAGGCGATACTTCCTCCGAAACGTCGGTTAACACAATATCTACACGGCGCCACATTCCAGAAGACTGGCTTTCTTCATAAAACCTCAAATCTTACAGAGTTATAAACGTGTTGACGGGGTCTCAATAATGGCGGCAGAATTTAATGTATTTGGAGTCTGTGCCAGTGTAAATTACAGGCAGAAATACATCAATAAATTATACAATATTAGCTTAATTTATATTAAATGCCAGCCTCATCATCTTGACTGTCATGAATTGAGGGGGAGTAGACGTCTACCCAGAACTTATTCCCTTATCTTCACAAAATCCGCTCTGTTCTCCGAACATTTTCCGCCTATAGTTGCCCGCAAGTCCTTGAGCCCAACAAGACTACTTCAAAGAGACATTAATTTCATTAATATAATTCCACGCCGCTGGGCAGTAATTACAGGAGCGCTTCCTTATACTGAGTGACGCTTATTGGTTCACAGTGAGCATGTGAAAATATTTTTCCACTGTACGACCAACGTATTTTTTAATGAGTGGGTGGAGAGAGAATGAACCCACTTAGTATACACGTCACTACTGGGCATTTTGTACCAACCCCCGATGACAGATGAGTATGTAGCAGTTGATGAAATGAGAACTGGCACGGGAAACCGAAGTACCCGGAGGAACCCTTCCCCAGTGACGCTTTGTCCATTACAAATCCCACATGACCTGATATGGGCTTGAACCCGTGCCGTGGTGGGATGCCGGCGACTAACCGCCTGAGGCATTATATGGCAACCACCAAGCTATTTGCAGTCTTCTACTTTCGTATAAAATGGCCATGATCTTTTGCATGAAGAATGTCGCATAAGTATGAGAGGATCTGGGAAAACTAGGTTAGAATGATAGCAAGGAGACACCACGAGAACCTGTATAATACCTCGTAACACGTGAATGTAATAGGGTAAACTCACGAACGCTTCATTTTAGAGCCACGAAAGCACCTTATTTGCTATTCGACTTTTCAGGCATATACTAGCTTATTATTCCGTGGCAATACAGCAAAGAGAATGTGCCACTGTTTCAGCAGACCAAGGATGCTGGGCTGTGTCAATGAGTGCATGCCATGCGCACGAGCTGTGTACTTACACAGAACCTCGAGAGTAAGCGTATCTTTCATGGGTTTCTCTTCCTTCTGCTGCATGACTGGGTTGGTTCCCTTGCACGTGAGAACCTCTCCGTTCTCGTACCGGGTCGCCGTGAAGATGAGGAGGCTGCGCGTTTCGTACGTTCCATCCTCCTAAAGCAGAACAGATCACAGTGTACATTAAAAGCCGACCAGTCTCTTCTGGTGCGAGAAACTTATACGCGTTTTGACACCTACTACTGATGATACGCGCATTTTCTTTGACGCTTTAAATGCCGAAATTCATCTAAATAATATTTTAAATTCTACTCTAGTTTGGAAATTTTTTATACACCGTCCAAATAGGCTAGCGATTTCCATCTCCATGGGCCGCTGAAAGAGTCGAGAAGAGTCAGAAGTTTGAAAATGATAAGTTTGCCCTGTAATTTGTCAGTCATTTTTTGCAGATGTGTCATAAAAATCTTGCACGGAGCTGAAATCACGAAATTTATAGATAAATGAGAATAAATTTGTGCCACTGGGGGGCGACTACGCAGAAAAAGAAAACTGAGATAACAATTTTGAAACATGAAGAAAGCAGTCTTCTGGGATTTGGCACCGTGTATATGTGGTGTTAACCGACGTTTCGGAGAAACGTATCGCCTCCATCTTCAGGGTAGAAGAAAAAATATAAGAAATCAGCAAGCGAAGAGACCGTGAGAACCGGTAAAAGCAGACGGTCTCTTCGCTTGCTGATTTCTTATATTTTTTCTTCTACCCTGAAGATGGAGGCGATACGTTTCTCCGAAACGTCGGTTAACACCACATATACACGGTGCCAAATCCCAGAAGACTGCTTTCTTCATAGTCACCGCCGTGAAAGCCTCAAATCTTACAATTTTGAAACATGTTAAGAAGTTACAAAATAAAATTAAGTTCTAAAATCTATTGTACCTACAATGTACATTCAGTTCCTTATTTGGAACATGGACTTTAAAAATTTCCATGTGAATATGATCGATTAAGAATCAATACCAAATAGCCTCCTGAATGCTCAATGCGGTACTTGAGCGCTTGACGACTCAACATGAAACCAGGGATATTTAATTTTTAAAGTAACAACTTCCCATGCTATTTCACTGTAATTCAGTCATCCAAAAGAGTTTCCATTAGCCTGACAATACGTAGTAGATGCCCACGCTCTCGCATTAATAAATCCCAAACGGTGCATAAATACGACTCCAATGTCTCTCCTGTCGGAGTGTCTGTGTAGTTTCGGGACTGGCAGGAGACGTATAGGCATGCCTACAAGCCATCAGCATCTGGCGGGCAGTAGCAGAAATGTTAGCTTTTAAATCCCGTTCTTTCGGATCTCTGGATCCGAGACCTTGCATACAAAATTCCGTTTTAACGTGGGGAAATTGTATTGTGCATTCGGCACTTCAACAGCACAGGAGCCTCTACTCCTGCTATTCTAATACAAGAATTGGAAACAACTCTCAAGCAGATCGGCCGAAAAATAGGATTTTAAAATTTATATAATGCTAACACAAAGCTTCACAGGAGCCTATCGTAATGCAGCCTACTCAGTCTATGTAATCTACCCTACGTTCCTAAGACCTAGTTTAATAGTAGCCTCGCAATTTTTATGAGTTTTAATTTAAGAGTTTCTTTTGCTGTTCAGTTATGATGTGTGTAAATAAAAATTTATTGGATTTCCGCAGATCATCGATTTAATAACCGCATATCAGAAGAATATCATCACTATAAGATTCATACCGAAATTTGCGGTCGAGAGGGTGGAATCATGATTCGTATTTGGGATGCCTCGACTTCATATCTCGAACGGAGACCGACTATGATGAACGAAATATTGCTTTTCCTCAATCTCTCCAGACAAATGCTATAACAACACTACGCATCCTTCCGTATCCGTTAAAATCCGTTATTCGCTAATCGTATTGTGACATGACGCCCGAAAGCCGGAATAGTGAAGTCAGAATAGAAGTTCATTGCCAGGCAACGACTCGGTAAAGACATCCCCGCTGCAATGAACATGCCTGTAACAATGGTACAGAAGCGTTTTCTATGGATCCGCGCCATCATCGTCACTGTGAAACTGGGCGGTATTCCCGCCTCGTCAACGATAAAGGCTGGGTTCTCTGGGTGTCTGTGCAAAGTAGCTATAAAGAAGTGTTCGGAAGCAGAGAACAGTAGTCAAATAGAGTGAAAAGTAGGGTTTCGAGACGTCAGCCTGCTAGTATATGAACTTGGGAGCAGAGGAATTAAATTGAGTTGAGTCTTCAGAACTGGAAGTTGCAGAATAATGGAAAGAAAGGAATTACGTGGGGACCAGGAGACTTTATGTGTGATTTTAAGGTACAGAGAGACTGTTAAAAATCCGTTGCCGGGATAGGACTAGTGAAGACTGAGAACCCTAGTGCGTTTGCAAAGGTGAAGTGTAAAGCGTGTAGATCAGCTGTAGCGCTGTATTGCCTGTAGTCCCTAGTTGTATGAATAGGGTGTCAATAAATTCAGTCACCCAATCCAAAACCCTCATACAGATGACAGTATTTTTATTCTATACCATGCAACTTAGTAGACTGAAAGCGCATCTAAATACCCAAAGAATGAATGAAACACAAGAGTAAACACTATCGTCACTGCGCCTCTCACCCTACTAATTATTTTACGGGCGTAGTGTTTCGGACCTAAACCCGGTGTGAAGCTGGAAAAGGTACCGATATTAATTAGGAACATCCTCTCTCCATACACAGGAAAAAAGTGACAGGAATGGGGTTGAAGGTGGGTCTGTGGAGGATCCAGAGGAGAATTTCTTTTAACATTTACGTATTAAAGCTTCCCTAATTTCAGATAAACTCAACTCCATCATCAGAGTCATTTATATAGTGCTAATATTTTTACACAGGACGAAACGTCGGATCCGTTTTCCAATAATACACTGAATTAATCCAAAAACTATTTTAGGTCCACTATACTATATACTATAATTACTAACGATCTAATTTCTTTGCCTTTGTAATTCTTTTAAGTCTATTTATTATATCTATTATTGCAGAAACTCGAAAATCTGTTATTACACTTCTAACTTTCTTTTTTCGGTTTCAGCGCATGAAACATTCCATCCATCTCATGCAACCCATTTCAGCTGACATTTACTCTCCAGATTTTAGTGGCGAAAACAGGGAATATCTCTGATAACAAATGTAAGGAGAAAAGTGCTAGAGATTTTCCAGTCGGGAATATAAAGGGCAGAGGCGAAGTCCAGTAACCTCTCGTCGTTTTCTCAGTTTCTGAAGTAACGAATCTCTCGCAGATCCAATAATATGAAACTTGAGGTTACTAAGTTTATGGCTATGGAGGTTACTATATTCCGAACTGTCGTGAGGTAGTGAATTGCCCTTGGGCCATTTGGTCAAAATATCATAGTCCAAAGTTCCTTTTACCCAAAAGAAGTGTATTATTACAGTCATGTATATTTTAGCCTTATATACATAGCTTGTATATATTTATGTATGGGGGGTAGGCCTTCTCGGCCCTTGCACCGAGACCTACCGTGGTCTATTGTGCTTATATATACAGCTTACTCGGGAGAGCGTCAGACAATATTCTGGAAGGACAGAGTTCGATTTCCTCCAGGGGCAATTCTTTTCTCTTCTTTACAGGGTTCAAACCGACTCTGAGGTCCAAGGAGCCTCCTATCCAATCGGTTCCGGGGATAAAGCGGTGGAGGCGTGAAGGTGACCACTCACTTCCAGCTAGTGCCGAAGTAAAGAATGATGGAGATACACCTCTGCTCTTCCACATATCTTCATGGTATAGTGCTTAATTAAGTACAGCAACAACTTTACCTTATACACTTCATTAATAATTAATGGAAGTTTTTTTTGAGAGCCCACGTCCCTCCTAGCCGACCGTCAAGTGCCACTAGAGGCACGCGCCCCAGCGGTTGAGAAACACCGCTGTATGAGCAGTACTCTACCCAGAGTTCGCATGATATCACGAAAGCCAAGCTGCTCTCTACCTTATGCTTCCTACTGGTGTGCAGAGACAAGAGCACAATTTCCCTATTTCGACAGTTTCCACCGCTCCCAATGGTGCACTCTTAGCCCTGGACCCTGGCCCCTATCCCTGTCTCACAAAACGTGTCTTCAAAGCAGCTTGCTTCTCTATCCTGAAGTGTGAAGGAGCATGTTCCTCCAAAACGCCGGTAGATATCCAGTACACTACATGGCGTCACATCATTATCGCCTAGAAATTTTATTAACAATTTACTTCAACATACCTTGTATTTATGTTCTTCAATAATTAGATTAAAATCATGGATAAAGAGGGGTGAAAATGCTTTTTTATATATTGTCACGTGTATGAGTGACTATAGACGGGGTTTGTATTAGGAACTGGGTTTATTGAACTCCAACAGAACGTAACTACAGGTAATTATAGCCCTATCGCTAATTCACACAATCGGCTGTTCACTACAGCGCGCACTAAGTCTTCTCAGTCTGTTTTGAGTAGGGGAAACTGTACCTTTACTTTATATATTTTCACCAATAACTATTGCATTCGGTAGCGTAGTTGGTTGAGGCACTATGTTACAAACCGAAAAGTCGCGGTTTCGAGTGCCGATGAGGTGGAATTTTCTAATTTGCCTAATCCTTCCAGTAGTACTATGGCCTTGGAGTAGACTCAGCTCTAAGAGAAATGAGTACCAGGAATCTCCCTGGGGGTAAAGTGCGGCCGGCGTTTAAGGCTGATAACGTCACCGCCATCTGTGAGCTGACTGCCTAAAAAATGTGAGAGCGTCGACGACTCACAATCCTATGGGCCTCCACGGCCTCTTACAGGGATATATTTCCATTTTTTACCTTTTTTACCCTACTCCCATAAATATAATTCTGGAAAATTTAACGGAAGTATACGGCCATAATACTACGCATTACAGTATAAATATAGAGTTAACCTTACATAAAAAATATTACTACTTCCAGCAGTTGTACAGCACAACTTATCAGTTGGAAATTATCTTCTTCTTCTTCTTCTTCGTAATTCAAACTATTCTGAACTTCTTTCAATAATTTATCATTAGGTAATAGATATATGTGAAAACATGTCTAATAGTAGTCGTCCCTGCNGTCTACCCTTCATATATT